TCTTCTAGTGTCTTTCCATTTCTTTCTTTGGTGTTCTGTATTTTCCATTGTAGAGGTCTTTCATTGCCTTGATTAGGTTTATTACTCAGTATAAATCTATTGTGAATAGAATTGTTTTCTTAATTTCCTTCTTAGTTTATTATTGGTGTATAGAAAATATATTGATTTTTTGTATGTTGATTTTGTATCCTGACATTTTGCAGGCATTTGTTTATTAGATGTGAACATCATATTGTCTTGTAGATAGAGGATTGTCTGCAAATAGGAATAATTTGACTTATTCCTTTCTTATTTGTATCACTTTATTTCCTTCTATTGCTTATTGTTCTGTCTAAAACTTCAAGTAGAGCTAGATTGAAGAAAAGTAGTTCAGCCTGGACACTCCTGTCTCATTCTTGATTTTAAAAGAAATGGTTCCAGTTTTTTCCATTCACTATGTTGGTATCAGGGTGATATTGGCTTCATAGAAGTAATTGGGGATCATTCCTTCCCTTTCTGTTTCATGGAATAGCTTGAAGAGAGTTGGTGTTTGTTTTTCTTTATGATCTGGTAAAATTCTGCAGTAAATCTATCTTGTCCTGGCCTTTTCTTTGCTGGGAGATAGTTTATTATTTCTTTAATTTCATTTCTTGTTCTCGACCTGATAAAAGTTTTTTAAATCTCCTTTTGGTGACTTTTTTAGGTCATTTATATCTAAAAATTTATTTATTCTAGATTTTCTAATTTATTGTAATATAAGTTTGAAATAGTTCTTAATAATCCTCTGAATGTTAGTGGAATTTGTAGTAACAATGACTTTTTCAATTCTGTTTTGTTAAAATTTGGTCTTTTCTCTCCATCTTTTGGTTGAGGGTTTATCAATCTTGCTTATCTTTTCAAAGAACCAATTCTTCGTTTCACTGATCTTTTATATTGTTCTTGTAGATTCTCTTCCATTAATTTCAGCTCTGATCTTTTGTATTACTTTTCTTATTTTGGGCTTGGTTGTTTTGGTTTTGGTTTTCTGAGGCCTTGAGATGCATCATTAGGGCATTTATTTGAGATCTCTCAGATTTTCTAATGACACTGATAGCTATAACATTCTCTCTTAGAGCTGCCTTTGCTATATCCCAGATTCTGGTAGGTTGTGTTTCCATTATTATTTGATTCTAAGGATTTTTTCAAATTTGTTTGATTGCTTCAGTGACCCAAGCCATGGATCATATAAGATCATATATTATTCAATCTCTATGTTTGCTTAGCTTCTGGAGTTTCTGCTGTTGTTTTGTAGTTCAATTCCATTGTGATTTGATAGGATGTATGAGATTATTTCAATTTTTTGTAGTTGTTAAGACTTGCTTTGGAGCCTAAGATATGGTCTAATTTGAAGAAAGTTCCATGAACCTCTGAAAAGAATCTATATTCCACTGTTGTTGGATGGAACACTGTGCAGATGTCTTTTAAATTCACATGGTCTACAATATAGTCTACATCTAGCATTTTTTTGTTGATTTTTTTTTTTTTTGTCTGAATGACCTATATATCTGTGAAAGTAGGGTACTGAAGTCACCCAGTATAATTGTATTGGGAACTATCTATTGCTTTTTGTTGAGTGGGTTTTGTTTTATAAAATTGGTTTTGCCAATGTTTGGTATGTTTATGTTTATAATTGTTACATCTTCTTGGTGGATCATTCCCTTTACAATATGCAGTGAACTTCTTTATCTCATCTCAGTATGTCTGACTTGAAATCTGTTCTGTCCTGGCTACTTCTACTTACTTTCAGATTCCATTTGTATGGGATATTATTTTCTATTCTTTTACTTTGAGTCCATGTATGTCTTTGTGGATAAGGTGCTCCTTGCAGGCAACATATACCGTATTTGGGTCCTGTTTTTAATCTAATCTGACAATGTAAGTCTTTTGATTGGAGAATTCAGACCATTTACATTCAAGGTTATTGTTGAAAGATGCAATAATTGCTACCATTTTGTTACTTTTGTGATACTTGATTGTTTCCTAATACTCATTTGTTATTCTATTCTTCATTTGTGTGTAGTGTTCCTTTAAGTATGGAAGAAAGGACTTTGAAAGCTTTCACCATAAAGAGATTATAAATGTTTGAGAAGACCCATATGTTTAATATGACTTAAACATTACACAGTGTATACATATATTGAAATATCACATGGTACCCCATAAATATGTACAATGTTTGTTTTATGTATACATTAAAAATAAATTTTATTTAAAAAATATACAGAGTCCCAACTCGTAATTAGGACATACAAACCAGAGTTTCATAAACATATTACTTCTGTCTCTTCTATTGTAATTCTGGATGAATAGTAGTGTCATTGGGATCACAATGGAGAATTTGAATTCAACTGACCTGATATGGGTACTGTATTTATCCTATTGTTTGAGATGTCTGCAGGAGCATTGGTGTGTATACAAAGCTGGCTCCCGTGGCTCCTGTCTTAATTAAAAGTACTGCATTTTAACTCCCAGCTTCCACTGCTACCTCATTATAAAGACTTTTATAGCTCATAAGCCTTGTTCTTATTTGCCATTATAAGTTATTCAGATCTGAAGGAATAACTCTTCCCACTAAAATTTAAAGCTACATAAATTTACACCCAACAAAAAGTACATGCTTATTTTATGCTCAGTATGATAAAATATGGAATTTCTAAGAGTATCTGAAAAATTTTGTTTTTCTTATAGAGGTAGTGCAAACACTACAACTTTAACATGGTTTTACTAACCTTGGCGCAGAATAAATTTTGTTGCCTTTTGTAATTTTTACGTTTATACAATTAGATTCTGGGACACACTGGAACTTCATTTTCCTTTAGCTATAGATGGGAAGGTTGTAGGCTTAACATTTTCTAACCATCTTTTCACAGGTGGATTTTTGTCATGACAGAATCAATTCGTTTTTAAGAAACCCTTCAGGCAAGGTTAATTATTCAATGAATATTGAAGGAGTGACTATGAGATTTTGGGGCTAATGTTTCACCAATTTAGGGAAAAGAATGAGGCACATCCCATTGTGGTAATAGTAGAGAAAGTTTGGTCACTGAAAATTCAGAATACAGGAGCAGGGAACATTATAGAGATATGAAGGAAAGGGAAGTTAGGTATAAAAATAGAACAAGGAAGGATTTAACAAATCATTAGTCTTGTAATTCCTTAAGTTTTTCATCTTTTTTTTTTGGTACTGGGGATAGAACTTGGGACCTTGCACTTACGAGGCAGGCGCCGGAACCACCGAGCTAAATCCCTGGCCCATGTTTTTCATCTTTTTAAAAAGCCACATTAACTGAAGAAAAGCCTTTAAAATTTTTTGATAATATAACAGAGAAGAAAGTTTTCGTTCCCAATATCTTTGCTCTTCTCATTTCACAAGTAAAGAACTTTGTTTGCAACCAGGAATGATGGAGTGACGGAGCTTAATTAACATAACTTATTTTTTCCCACTGCATCAGATCAGGTATTTATTCAAAATAAGCTGTCCAAAATGATTTGACTTTCATGGAATAAACACATTGAACACTGTATATAGCACTGTATATAAACTGTATATAGCACTGTATATAAACCTACCTTCTATGGTAGGTTTCTTTTCTGCTGGGTTTTTTTCATTTGTTGGTTTCTTGGTAGTTTCAGCCTCCCCCTATCCCATCAAAGGCTTCTTCTGTTCTTTATCACCAAAAGCCCTCTTTCCTTTCTTCCCTACCACATGCTTCTTGCACGTGACCCCAGCCTCACCCACTTTGGCCTCTGCTGCTGCTGCTGTCTTACCCACCCAGAGTTTGTGACATCTAACATGGGGAAGAATGGCGTTGGCCATGGTGTTAGTATATGGCTTTAGCTCCAACATCATTCTCAGGGTTTTCGTGGGTTCTTTTTCAGTACTCTGCAAGGAGCAAGTTCAGAATGTTCTGTTTGCTTATGTTAAGCACAGCCATTCCAGGAATTCTTCTGAAAGGCCCAGTGATGCCATTGTTCTCATTATACGTGATGCACGATCCCCTGAGCTGCATATGATGGTTTCTCATTTTACCCTAGGTAGCAGTATTCTCTGGAAGGCATGGCTCATTTGGATAACACTTCAGCCCTGAAGTTCTTTTATGAAACTAAACATCCTCCTTGGTCTTGAACCTTTCAATTTTACCTTCGACCACCAGGAAGCTTGGGAACCTATTCAGTGACAACCTTTAAACATGATTAGTGTTAATGAGGCAGAAGTGACCAGGGCAGAGTAGATTGCATATGGCTTTTGGGTTGATAGGGATGAGCAGTTCCAGTTTTTGGTTGGTGCAAATGTGTGGCCACCTCAAAACATATTTTTGAAAGTATCTTTGCTGGAATGATGAGTTCCATCACCACAAACCCTGGGAATTCACACCATAGCTCTGCCAGCACCCAGGACTCAGCATAGGTTTAACAATTTGCTCACTCACTGACAACTTAGGGCCGTCAGTCATTTCTGTGTCAACTAGGTGTGAAAAAAGTTCACAATATCTGCTTGAATGCGAGTCTCACACACAACCAAGAAACGTTTTTCCACATGACTACTCCTTCTGGGAGTACACCCATGTCAGTAGACAAGCACATGCCGTGATGGGAGTAGGAGAAAGCCTTTGTCCTCTTACCCTGGCAGCTCCTACAGGAAGAGTTTAAACAATATAATTCTTAAGCAGAAAAGCTAGGTTCTGTGTTAGGCTTTCCTTCTTGCTGGATTACATGAATCTTTCTTTTCATATGCTCCCAAAGTGGACTAAATCAGTTGACAGCAGTGAGATGGAGGAGATATGTGTCATAATGCTCCTAAATGCAGTAGAAACACCCTAAAGAAGAATGTCTTCGCCAGCATTATCAACAGATTAGAGTTGTGAATGGCAGAATATGTCTCGGGTGAAAAATCTCATTAGACAGACAGACATGATAAAAAGGCCATTAAACAAGGATTTCTATGTCAGATTCCATCAGGGGAAAACAAACAAGTGACTCACCTTTATGTATAATGGTTCCCTAAGATGTTCAATGAGAATGCAAGCTTTTTCCTCCCACACAGGGTTGAGGTTCTTGTGTATTATTTTACTTCTAAAAACTTCTTTTCTTCCAATTTTAAACTTCACGTATGGATCACTTGTTCCTGTTAAGGAGAGACAGATTGATCCATGTTAATCATTCCTTTCTATGGAAGCAAGATGACTGCTCATTAAAACAACAGGGAGAATCTAAAGGAAGAAAATTTAATTAGGACTTATCATGCGGGAAAATAAAGGTTGTGTTTTTCCTAAATCTTTCCTTATATGTTGAAGTGACAGTAAATTATCATTATTATTGTTGTTACATTATCTTCTGATCTTAATTGTGTAACTTTGTTTTGGCATTAAAAAAACTTGATTGTATGATAAATATGAATTTAATTCCAATTACACATAATAGAGCTTAATCTGATATTTCTATTGGTATCATCTTGTCAATTATAGAAAGGATGATCAGTTATATTGGCTGATATATATACATGTTACTAGAACTTTACACTATTGTAATTCGCTTAGAGAAATCTGAGTCTCAAACAGAGTCATTTCTTTTTTGGTGCCATATTCTCCCTTGCTTAGAAGCTTTAATTGTAGAATGTTAAGGAATGGGTGGAGGTGACAAAGGAACGTAGTATTACTGGGATAGAGACCACTGCTTATTAAATGAAATGGATACTTAGTGTTATGCTTTAACCCCTCCCAAGTTCTCTCTGTGAAAAAGAAAATCACAGATGTCAAGTAAGTTAATTATGAATACATAGCAAACAAGAAATGGGGTTATGATTCCAACCAAAGCTGTTTAACTCTAATGCATGCACTTTTTCCATTATATCTGCAAGAGAAAAAGCCTTTTAACTAATATATATATTAATTAATATAGAGAAAATATATTAACCAATATACATATATAAACTAATATCTAATATATTAACTAAAATACATGTATTCACATTGGAGTATGAGGGTGAGACAAGACCAACCTTGACTTAAGTTGAACTGATGCAGCTATTAAAGCTCCCTAGAGAAAGTGAATCTGTTACTTCCCATATAAATTATTCTAGTGCATAATAATCTTTATCATCAGGAAATAATCCTTTGTATCAGGCCCAACTGCCTTATGATAAAATTAGACTTAATTCTTCACGTTTTGTTCAAACTGAAGCTACAGTTGATAATATGATTTATAAGACTTCAAGAAAAATGGGACCATGGCTCTGGACAATGTAGCAGTGTACAGGTGTCAGCCATTACAGTTATGAAGCTGTTATCCTTGAATTTACATTATGTATCCTCTCTCAATACTCTTCTCATCTCAATGACACATAAACACCTATGCAAAATATAAAGATTGACTTAAACACCTCGTCTGTCATATTTAATCATTTGAGGTGCCCTTAAAACTTCTGACATTCCTCTCCTTCAAAACATAATACCTTGGGACGGGGATGTAGCTCAGTGGCACAGTGCCTGCCTGACAAACATGAGGCTCTGAGTTTGATTCCCGGGGCCAAAAAAAAAATCATTTTTGTATGCATACATCAAAGAATAATAAAAATAATTATTCCATTTTCCCATTTGTGAAACTCCATTTTATTTGGACAGCTTGAGCTTATAAAAGTAAAAACAAAAATATTTATAAATGTAAATGTAGGCTGCTTCATATTAACCTGCTATAATTTTTTCATGAGGGGAAGCAATAAAAGTAAAATGTTTAATGGTTAAAATGGCTATTTTTATCTTAGTAGTTTCAACTGTGGACTGAGACAGGGGAGGTAAAGGTATGGGAGGCACCTACTTTGAAAAAGATTAAAATCAATGAATCTCTTTGAATTGTCCCAATTATACCCTAGATCAAGTTATTTTCATTGGTTAAAAAAAATCACCCATGTAAAAAAAAAATCACCTATGTAATTACTATTACCTGAAAAGACATAGTAATTTCTGTCAGATCAGAACTCAGCTGTATTACTGTTTTATAAATCTCCAGCACGTGGTATAGAATCGGACATACTGTAGGTCCTCAATAACCATTTGGTAAACAAAGAAATTTAAAAATAACTTGATGTGTGAGTCAGAAAGGTATTCTGTAAACATTCCTTGGTGAAAAAGAACAAAAATCGGGCATCTCCTTTTTAAGTTTGGGGAGGTAGGAAAGCTATTCAAAAGTTTCCACAGCTGTGTTTTCATAGCTCATCACATTCTCAGGCCTGACTCCATGGTGGAACCTTTCTAAAGTGAGTTCCCCAGGTTTACAATGGGTCCTGTACATAGGGCAATAAAACTACCGCCCACAAAGGTACATCTGCAGGAGATAGCTGAGGAGAAGGAAAGGTCTCTGGGGGTCTAAAGCAGAAGGCTCAAAGCCATGGGTGAAATCTCTTGCCCTGTTTTTTCAGGACCACTGTTTGCTCTGCTTAGACCAAATAAGATTTGGTTACCAGGTTTTCAGTATAAGAAAAAATAGAGTATTAGGTGCGAGTGGAAGCCTGTGAGAATGTAGTAAAAAACAATATGAGATTAAGGAAGAATACTTTTAAATTTTGAAGAGAACTTTCAACAATTTTTTACAATCTTTGCTTTTTAGAGCACTTTGGAATGGGGCCAAAAGGTTCTAAGAGAAACTATGGGTTTCCAGGTGGGACAGATGGAAGTAAAAACAGGATGGGTCTGAGAGCAAAACCAGGAAGGCGTGAGGGTAAGAACAAATAGTTGAATGGACTAGATTGAAAAACTCACAAACAGACTAATAAAACATTCTATTTGATAATGGTCATAACACCAAAAAAAATGGGGAAAAGAAAATATAAAACCACCTCATCATATGGACAAAGATGAAGCCAGATTCCCCACCTTGTGGCATATGCAAAGATGGACTCTTAACAATTCTGATAGCTAAATGTGAATTTTAATTCCACAAAGCTAACAGAACATAGGGGAATGAAGACAAAAGAGAAGATTCCTTAAAGAAGCAAAAATTTTAAAGTGTGTGTGAGAGAGAGAAGGGAGAGAGAGAGAGGGAGGAAGGGAGAAAAGAGGGAGAGAGAGAGAATTGTATACAGCTAAGAATTTCTGTTCAACTGAGGATACTGTGATAAAGTTAAACTGCAGATGTCTCACTAGAAATATCTGCAGTATCTGAAAGAAAAAGGAGAATAATATCTTGAATAAATAAGAATTTTTGAAAATCAGTTAAAAAAAGACAAATTCATAGGGAAATGCGACATTTTATGTGTAGTCAATCTACAAGAAGAAGGAAAGGTAAAATAACAAACAGGTAAATGAAGTAATTACAAAAAACACTAGTAATCAGAGAAAGACAGATGACACAGTGAGAGGTGACTTTTCATGAGCAGAACAAAATTTAGAAAATTGGGTGACTTTTCATGAGCAGAACAAAATTTAGAAAATTGGATGTTGTAGGTCTAAATATCACTTTGTGGGCCTGCTCTCATCTTTGAGTAGCATTCCTGCCTCCCCAAAATTGAAGTTAGCTCCTTGTCGCTTTGTCCCGCAGGCAGCTGGGGTGCAGGTTACACCCCCAATGCAAGGCTGAGTGCTCTGCTTCTGGATACTCTGTAATATAACACACTGAGGTCTAGGGTGTGAAACAATTATTTTATTATATCCAGGCATTCTGTTGTTCAGGAATTAAGACAGGACACAGAAGGACTGTCCCATCTCTGCTCTAAGAGATCTGGGCTTCAGCTAGGAAGAAACAAATGTCTTGAAGTTAGAATCTTCTGTCTGCATTTGCTATGGTGTGAATATGGTTTGTGCTTTCTAAAATTCATGTCAGAGTTTAATCCCATTGTACCATATTAGAGGATGGAAACTTGATCTGACTATGGTATTTAGAAGCAGGGGGCTTTGGGAAGTAATTCAGATTAGGTAAGATCATGGGGCTGTGGCCACCATGATTCCATCCTGGGGGCTTTATAAGAGAGAGGTAAAACACAGGACACACACATGAGCATGCTGTCTCCTGCCATGCAATGCCCGCTACACCTAAGACTCTGCCAGCAAAAAGGTCATCACCCGATGCTGGCCCTTAACTTTGGACTTCCCCAACCATGAGCCAAAATAAGCTGCTTTAAAAAAATATGTAACTTTCCCATTCTGTGTGTTGCGTTACTGACAACAGAAAGCAGACTAATGTAACATTCATATGCTGGTTGTAGGCTGGGGTCTCTGGTCTGTCTGCTAAATACACACACACAATTTTCTTGTGTGGGACAGTTTATCTTTCTTACAGTATGACAGCTAGATTCCAAGACAAAGCATTGAAAGTGTATGGCATTTGAACAATTTAGACCTTCTAAAAATATATTCTAAACAAGGGCACACAAATATACTCTATTTGTCAAGGAAATTAGAAAGGCTTGCTCTGGGGGCAGGGAGGGGATACAAAACCCACCCCCTGATGTGAGGAAAGCTAAAGTCACATTTTAAGAAGAGCATGTGGGATGAGAAATATTCTTGCAACCATTCTTTGGAAAATGAATGCTATGGCTCATCAGTATGGAAGTGAACAGTCTGAGGAAGAAATAATCCAGGAAGAGGATGGGGAAAGGAGAGACACTGACTTTCAGAGGAGGGAGGAAGCTGTGGAAATTGTGATTCCTACACCCTGGCAAAGACAGCCTTCATATTCTCAGCTTGAGTAGACTCAACTGTCTGATTCCTGATAAATGTCCCTGGCCTCTGTTTTCCCAGACAGTTGCTTTAAAAATCTTGTAATTTCTCCTCTGTCCCTTGGAGATGTAAATTCTCTCTCTGTCTCTGGTCAGGTTCACACACCCATCATGAATGTCTTAGAGACCCGGAAGTTATTTCTGTGAAAAGTGCCCAAGCACATTAAGAGTTGACAAAGACTAATTTTCTGGCCCACTAGCAATTCTATATACTGACTTCCTTGAGTATGTTCCTTTTTCTAGAGTAGTTTCTTATTACAGCTGAAATCTCCAAGTGACACAATGGAGACTATCTAGTGTTGACGAGTGGATGAGCAAATGGGAAAACTTGTGTTCTACTGATGGAAGGACAGAATGTTTTAGCAATTTTCTGAAAGCAATCTGGCCATTTCATATGGAATTCTGTATATGCGTTA